CAGCTTCCCAGGTGCTGGCTAACATCACTTACAAAATAACTCATAAATGGGGGCAATTCCTACAGCTCGTCACTAGCTCTTCGGAAACACCAGATACCACATAATAAACTGCTTTGTGCAGATAATGAGTTTTTGATGGCTGGCCTGTAACTTACTCTCCGGGTGATATTATACTAATGCTGTTCTCAGTGAAATCTGTTCTGATGTGTTGATTGGGTCCAGTATCTACCTGGGGAAGTTTCGTTTCTCACTGGTGTATACCTTCTGCTCATTGTAGATTGATTTGAGAAATCTTGGATAACAGGATACACCTGACCCTTGATAGAGGTGAAGGGCTTGTTTGTGCTGAGATCATATATACAGCTGTAGTGGTACTTCAGCTTCATAAAGGCAACTCTGTGGGTCCAGATGATGGATTTGTGCTGGGTAGTGTTACTGGTACTAAGACAGAGAAGATACAAATGAAGACACACCCTGAAAATTATTAATGCAAGTTAGGAAATTCTAGAAATTTGGAAAAAGTTTCTGTTCCTGTCCCCCTCCTCAGATTTGTACTGCACGTTAGAGGTGGATTCTTTTGGATATTTTGTGAACAAGGCTAAAACTAGAGTTTACAGAGACACCACAGAGCCCAACTGGAACGAGGTAAGTTGGATTTTTCTTAATGTGGCTTGTTCCATGTGCCAGACATGAATGCACGATGGGCAAAAACCTGCAAATGGAAGAACTTCCTGCATGCTCAGCACTTGTGCTGCATATGCTGCCTCTCAGAAAACAGTTTCATGCCAGGTTCGTTCGGCTGTCAGGACTTGCAGAAGGTTTTCTCTTGGGCTGGCTAGAGTTAAACAAACATTTCAGTACAAATCTGTCTTGTCCAGCATTTCATCATGTAAACAGATGGATGTTTGATTATTTTCTTAAAGAGACAACTGAAAATATGTTGAAGGAGGTGGTGTTTTTGTCTATTTGTTGTGAGGGGGAAGAATTGGCTATAGGCGTTTTGCCTGTTTACAGCCAACTCAAACCTGCTGAGGAGCAAAATTAAATACAAAGGAGAGCAAGTTTGTTTCTTTGAATGATGCTTTGCTGAAACTTAGTGAAACCTGACTGAGGAGTCAACCACCTCAGTCTCTGATTTGACCACTTTATAGATACAAAATACAATTTCAGTTTATTTCTAGACCGCTATTAGGGAGGAGGTTTTGGTCAGTCCTTAAGTGCTTCCTCCTGATGAGTTTTAAGGAGACTATATTGATTGTTAAGAGACTAGTGTCCTGCTGTGCTGTATTCATTGCTCTTTCCTTTCCTGGTGCCCTGCAGGAGTTTGAGATTGAGCTGGAAGGCTCACAAACTCTGCGGATTCTGTGCTATGAAAAGTGCTACAACAAAACCAAGCTCACCAAAGAGGATGGAGAGAGCACAGATCGCATAATGGGGAAAGGACAGATCCAGGTAAGACTGTGCTTTTTTTCTGCTGCTAAATGTAACGGGACTTTTGAATCCTGGAGTACACTAGGAAGGTTTTTTTCCACCTTCTGATTGTCTCAGCATTGGGGACTTTTCTCCAGACAGTGAGGTATACAGTGTGATTCACAGGCAGGACATCAGCAGCTTTTTCCCTCTTGCCCTGCTCGCTATGCCTTCTTCAGCACCCTTTTAGAATAGATGCTTTTTCATTAAAATTTACATTTTGATCTCTCATTTGCCTGTTAACTTCTAAACTTCCAGCACAGTGTATAGGAACTGCACTGTCACTGAGCCCTGGGCACTGTTGAGGATGCTCCATTTGTGACACAAGAGGAAGCAATGAACGTACTGTCCCCTCTGTAAATCATGTGAAAGAAATGCCGCCTTCTGTACGTGCTGGAAGTGATTGATGTGATAGCAAAGCCTTGGAGGACAGGCTTATTGTCCTCGTAACTGCCATGTCCAGAGCATAGTGTCCGTGACAGCAGGCTGCATCCCTGAGACATTTCCCCTGCTGAGAATCAGCATGGTACACTTGTCTATGTGGCAAATTTGTAACACAATAGGGGAGGTGATGTGATGATTGCAAATGGATGCTGCTCTCGGGGAGCTGCTGTGGGATAAAGCACTAAAGCTCCATGCAGGAGAAATTGGGCCATCAGTGGAGGATGACACAGGGAACATATGTTCCCACTCTTCTTCCAGTTTGTTGCACGCTCTGGCCACAGCTTTGGGAGGGTGTTTCAATGCCTGCTCTGAGGACACATTCTTTGTGTTGGACTGGCTGTTGTGCAGTGCAGAGACCCTGCTCAGATAGCTTTTTTTTCTGGCACGCTGAAAAATACCACCAGTTCTCTTCCATCTGTGTTTGACTCTTCGTCACTCCCTGGATGACAGCTTTCTGCAACATTTGAGTGCTGGTCGCACAGGCCAAGGCCATTCATGGAATTTCAGAGACAGCTCTGATGGAGGGTGGCCTGCAGGTTCATATCTCACCTTTCCTCCAGGAGGGTTCATTGTCTAAATGAGTTTCATTAGGCCTGGTCCTTTCCCTCCCTCTTGCAGCCCTGAGGCTGCCATGCCATTGTCAGGAAAAGCTTTTGTCACCAAACACTCAGTGGGTGTTGGAAAGAAAATGTGCATACAAATCAATAAATGCTAGTAAAGGCATGTGTGTCCTTTGTGTGTCTCTCAGGCTAACCAGAAATCTGTGTGTCCCTGCTGCTAACAAAAGCTTATTTTCCATGGAGCTGAGCAGCTACGAAAGAGCAAGTTTTCAGTCCTGAAATGCCCTGGAGATCTGTGCGCTTATAATGGAGAACCCTGAAATCACTGACCCTCTAAATTCTTAAAATATTTTACATAGAATGATTAAAAAAAATAAGAAAGTCTTTTAAATTTTTAACAATTTTTTTCATGAGTGTGGGTATTTTTATGCACAACACTTGTACATTCTGTTAGAAGATTTTATACTTAATAAGTAAAAATATCCTTTGAGTATTAATACACTTGAGTATTAATTGCATCTTGATTCTTTTAGAGAAACCTGAATAGTGGAAAGTAAAAATAAAACAAAACCCCCACAAAACAAAACAATAAAAATGTTTTTTTATTAATTCTGTTGTATGTAAAAGGCAAATGCAGAAGTTCTTTTGCTTTCAGTAAATCCCCTTTGCAGTTTATAAAGGAACTTGGTGAACAGGACATCGTCTTAATTCTCAGTGATTTTTTTTGTCCCATGACACAACTTTTTAACACTATTGAATAGGTGCAGAGAGAAGTCATAAGACAGTCTGGTAAGATCTTGGGTTGATAATAATTATTAAAGGTTTTTATTTTGTTTTAGTTTTAAAGCAAACACCATTTGTCTATTAAGAAATCATAATAATGCAGCAACAAAATCAAATTATGACCTGTGGCTGAGGTTAGCTGTATTAATGCTGTCAGCATCTTTTACAGTCACTGGTTTTGTGTTTATTTTCTTTCTTAAATTTTGTTTACTTTAGCGTTGCTAGTGTATCTGGGGCTTCTGTTTTGTTGTTGTTGTTGCCTTGTCATTATTCAGCCAAAGTCTGTCATGTGTAAAGGCAAGGTCTGTGAAGTTGGATGAGGTTTGTTTTCCTAAATTCCCTTTAGTTAAAAACTCTGAGAACTTCAAGAGTCATGTCTGCATCCTCCTGCTGATAAAAACAGGGACATTTTTTTGTTGGCTAAATGGCAGTGTATTGTTAAAGCCACGTATTATTGTAAATCTGCAACTTCCCACTACTGGGATTTCTGACTCACCAAATTCTGTGCGCTGTAGTGATGAAGACAATGCATCAAGGAGACAAGGACAGATTTGGCTGTGAAATGTTTATTAAATCTCTCCGTTACATAACGGCACTGGAGGAAGGAAGACTGAAAATTGGTCCTTGTGGTCAGAAGCTTCCAGGAATGGGCAGCAATTTTAACAGCTCCCATTGCTCATATTTTCTTTTCCTATGGAATGTTTTATTTACCTCTTTTTATAGCCACATGCAAGGCCTTTGTTGCTTGCCAACCTACAAGTTTTATCCCTGACAAATAAAACCACGAGGTTTTAATATTGGAAAACCTCCTGTAGATGTCAAAGAGAAGTCCACTTGGGAACAAGAGCACTGGATGTGCAGTATTTAACCAGCCGGCACACACGGTTGGGGGCTTCTGTTACATCTCAGGAGTGAGAAATACAGGGAGAAGGTGCCATTCCTGGGTACACTGTGAAACTGAAATTACTGGGTGGCTTGGGAGAGGAAGAAACAGACATCATCTTATAAGAGGAAACATGAGGCTTAGTTCAGTTGTAAGCATCAGCTTCTCTCATTTTGAACTCTTTTTTTCTTTTTTCTTTCTGTTGTTACCTTGCAATCCATCTTCAGCACTTGGGAGGCTGGCCCTCTTGCTCTTTGAATTTTGTACTTCATGTGGCAGGCAGGTCCACATGTTTTGAGCGTAGCAGCCTTTTGTTTGGTCCTGCAACCCTGCAGCTAAGTGGACACGTGTCAGCAAAAGTGGCCTCTGCCTTGGGAACAGACTGCATGAGTAAACTGACACTTCATCCTGTGATCCATCTCCTCCAGTTGGTGCCTCCTAAAAATGCTGTTTCCTTTGTAATTGTTTTTTTCTGCATGATCAGCTCAGGCAAACCATTTCCTTCTCCCTCACAGCAGTGCTGGAAAATCAGAGAGGATATGACCTTAGATCAGTCATTCTGTGGTAGCAGCGCAACACTGTTGCTCTGTTGCCATGCAAAACAATCACTCTTATCTGCTTAATTATCGGGGATGTCTCACTGCGGTGCACATGGCTATTTCAGACCTCTAGGTTGTTTTCTGTGTAAAACAGCTTGTCACATGCTGTACTTCCCAAGTGTCAACTCAGAAAACCTTTTACACACTCGAGTTCATTTAAAGTTTGCTCATGCAGAACAGTATCCCAGCAAAGAAAACAGGGTGGAAATGAAGAAGGCATGGGTCATGTCTAAAGGGTGATGGTGGGAAAGCCAGGGAGGAGCTTTGAGAAGAGTGGGGCTATGGCTAGATTGGGAGTTTCCAGCAGCAGTGGGATGCTGACAACGTGTATGTCACATCAGTTACAATTAAAAATTGATGGAGTGTAAAGTTGCCAGGGGGATTTAATAAAGGGAGGAAGTAATCTGAATAAATAGCGTGAAACACACTAACCTTAAGGTTGCCTCAGTCCTTGCTCCCAGGCATTTCGTTTCCACTGATGCTAATTCGTTTTTTCCTCTTTATGTTTTTTTTTTCTTCTTCTGGGGAAAAAAAAAATATCATCAAACTCTGTGCTGGTTTCCTAAGGCAGAGCACAGACTCCCTTAGTGCCTGGCTTGCATTTGCTATCGACCAGCATTCTCAGCTACGCTTTTTTTTTTCCAATTTCCCCACCACTCTGTTCTGCACACTCAGCCTCTGCTGCCTGCTGTGCACTCACTGTCTGAATTCAGCGCTGAGCTGCTGTGAGGGCCAGGACTGGCGCTCAGCAATCCCTGTGGTGCTGAGCTGCTCTGGTCCATTGTGTTCTGGGCAGGATACAGAGGCATGTGCCTGATTCATTAGTGAATTTGGGGCTGTAGTTTGCCAGTGCAAATGCCAGAGAACAGGCCACAAGGGGACTGGATGTGCTGGGGGAGTAAAGACGAACTGGTTTGCTTGTATTTTTCCTGTGGAGATGCACTTTTGATGGGGACTGTGCAAGCAAGCCCATGAGATACAGTCTGTGAGGGTTTCAGCAAATCTGCCCTATTTGCATAGGAGACAGCACAATTTGTTGTGGTTCCAGTGGAGATGGTACAGGTCCTTTTGTCACTCAAACCAAGCACCTGTTTGAAGGAAATGTTTAGAGGTGTGATGAATTTCACTGTCAAGTTAGTGCAGAGGCCGTGTCACAGTGTCACCCCCGCCTGAGCTGGCAGAGCGAGCGCTCCGTGCTTGCTCACTCAGAGCAGCCTCCTTTTGGCACGCTGTCTGTAGATTGTGTTCTACTCGATGTTCCTTCTTCCAGGCCACTGATCTCCAAATCAGGCCAGGAGACAGCATGGCCCCATTTGTCACAGGCCCTCTCTATACAGGAGCATCACGCTCACTGACTCTCTTTGTCTTCAGTCCCCTTTGTAGTCTGGCTGCTCCAGCTGCCCTTTCCCTGGGCTGCTCTTGCTGGCCTTAGAAGGTCACTCATCTGTAGGGTCTAGGACTGAAAGCTTGCTCAAAGTCTAAGTGACATTCTTAAGTTTCCTGTTGACTCTGTTATTTCCTACTGTGACTTTACCAGACTGTTAGGCTTGATCTTCCTGTCTCACTCAGTATTGCTGAGACCTTATTCAGGCTTTGCTCTTTTATTAGCTTCCATCATGTCACTTTGTTCTGGGGGGGGGGGGGGAGGATTTTTTTTATTTTTTTTTCATTGCTGCTGTTATTGCAGTGATTTATGCAGGGCTGGCTCAGGTCAGCTGGACCCCCTCCCTGGTGCCTGTTCTCCGTAGCTGTCTCCATTCAATACAAGCTGTTCTCAGCACCAGTGAAACAGCAGGGGGGGAGTGTGGGGGTCCTGCCAGCCCCAAAACAGAGTTCAGAGATAAGGGAGCGAGAGGCAGCAGCAGGTACACTCGCAGTCCTTGCTCAGCTCCGGTAGCTATCCAGCAAGGAAGAGTCTCTGTGAGCTCTCAGCTCCAACACGCTGCTTTTGGTCGTCCTTTGCAGCCATACGATGTTCGCTCTTGAGACAGAGTAGGACTCTGTTTGGCTCGTAGCTTTTAACAGCTGTTTACTGGCTTTCATTTTGTACAGTGTTAGGAGTTCCCTGGTTACCACTGAGATACAGCCAGTAATACCTGTTAGCTTAAATAAACTGTAAATGGACCCTGCTGCAGTCTTCCTTTAACTTTTTTGGCAAATAGTCAAAACTCCCTTTCCCCTTCAATCTTAAGCAGTCTCTCCCTGCTATGAATAATACACTCTCAGTGACTCCATCCTAAAAGCACATGGAAAACTGCTTCTGAGCTGGGATCAGCTGAGACTGTGTCTATCAGCCGGGCCATTTAGGCAGCTTAATGAGATGACTATTTAGGCAGCTGGAGATCAAGCTTTCAGGAATACTGAGCGTGGTTGCTCTGCATAGGAAACCAGACACTTCAGAAATGGTTTCCTCTTGATTCTGGGAAAGAATGCTGTTGTTGAAAGAAACCAAACTTCCAGCACGGAAATTCAGGGGAGAACAGCCTAGATTCTGGCCAACTTGTAGGGACCTTGGCCAGCTGCTCAGGCGGGGGCGGATCTGTTCCGCCAGAGTTATAAGCAAGCCCTCTTGGCAAGCAGGCTGTTATTTGGGTTTGCTGAAGCACTGAAGCTAAGCACTGTTGCCCATTGGCCTCCTGGACCTTTGTGCAAGTCCCAAAATGTGGGAGCTACTGGTTGCTGACTATTCCTTACAAGGGGTCTTCAGGAATTTTTGCCAGAGTTGCACCTACAGGAGCCGGTCCAATTCGACAGGAAAGCATGTGTGTGCTGGCAGCATCCCGCTGTGGGCTCACGTCCGTAACAAAGTGCGCAGAGATAAGGTTAGCCTCGCTTGCTTCTCTGTTTCTTCTTGGGGTCTCTGTAGTGTGAGTAAGTGGGGAGAGACTTTTCTCGCTGCTGGTTGTCTTTTTTGGGGAGTGGGGAAGGGCACGGGGGGACTTGTCTCTGTAGGTGTCAGCAGCATTGGTGTGTTGATGATCTGAAAGAGAGTGTGAGCAGGATTGCATCTAAGATCTCCTAGAATATACTGCAGCTGCCGTTGTTTAAACATTTACCTCTGCCTGTCAGAGAACTCTGCTTGTGCATCAGGTTCTGCGAGAGGGAGGAGCTGTGCTGCAGAACGAGCGTCTTTTTGTTTGCAGTAAATTCAGAACACAGAGTCTGCTGCAGTTCCCTCCTCTGGTCTTACTGTGTCTCAGTGTTCAAGAGCCAAACGTTCCAAAGCCATCTCCGGAGGCACTGAAGCCTGCTTGCTTTGGCTGGTTCTGATTGTTGATAGAAGTCCCCATGCAGACAGGTCTTGTCTTTCTTTTGCCAGTCTGGCTTGAGCAGAGTGCCACTCTTCAGGCATTCAGGTTTGTTGGGACTCTCCCAGGCAGTACCGGAATGGCTGGGTGACGTTCGAGTACTTGTCAGCTGCTCCCCAGCCTCACAACAGTCCGCTCAAAAGAGATCAAGCAAAGCTGAAAACGGGAGATCAGGGCTTTGCGTCAGAACTTGTTTCTGTTTAATTAATTCTTGCAATAGCAGGGCCAGATGATCTTCCTAGCACCACACTCAAATAGAAATGAAAAGGAATAGGCAGGTTGAAGGAGGACAACTTTCCGTGATTTCTGGGCTCATTTTCTCCATTTCTTCTCTGTCAGATCCTGAGAGAGGTTTGGTTTGTTTAAAGTTACTTCTCTCTGCATGGGTCACTTCGTATTTGTCTTCCTTGGTCTCGCTGTTAGGGTCACTATGTCTTTTGAATTCAGTGGAACGTAGTCCTTGGAAGCTATTAGTTTCATAGCCAAGAGCTGTGAAGCTCCAACCTGGCTTTTTATTGCAGGGCAGTAATTTCACATTCATCCAACCTCACCTGTCTGTAGAAAAATGCAGAGGGAGGCAGTTTCCTCTATTCCAAATCAGAGTTACTCCAAAAATCTCTCCTCCCTTTTTCTGACTCCTCGCCCTGTGCGATGGGACAGCTTTGGCTGTCTGTTAATGTGCCTGTTGTGCTGCAGGAATGAATGCAGGCTCTTTCTATGAAAGCCGAGGTTATTCGCTTTCAAACATTGATTTTGCTTGCTGAGGTTGCCTTTGCTGTTGAGCAAACACCGCAAACGTGTTGCTCGATTTTCCATATGTGTGAGCTGTCATCAGCCCTGCTTAGAGAACCGCACAATATCTGAGTGTCCCACTATCTGAAACCAGGAAAACCTTGGAATGTGTGTTTTCCTGGGGAAAAGAAAGAACGTGTTGGAAGTGGCAGTGCTCTGCTCGCTGACAGCAGCCTTTCAGGCTGGCTCATTTCTCTGAAGTCTATTCCTGGCTCATTGGTAACTTCCATGTTTTTCAGCTGGACCCACAGGCGTTGCAGGACAAAGATTGGCAACGCACAGTCATCTCAATGAATGGCGTAAGTATCGAAAACAGAATTTAGCACTGCTTCTGTACCTCCTGTGTGCTTTATTTCTCTGCTTTTCATTGCAGCATAAAAAAAGAAAATAAAATGTTTGAAAAATAACAGCAGTTCTCTTTTATCCAGGTTGAAGTGAAGCTGTCCGTGAAGTTTACCAGTCGGGAGTTCAGCCTGAAAAGGATGCCATCCCGGAAGCAGACTGGGGTCTTTGGGGTCAAGATCGCTATTGTCACCAAGTGAGCTGATGGGTCCCGCTTCTCCCTGCTCTCCCTAAGCCAGCTGGCCAGTGGCTTGCACCTGTCTTTGCCCCACTGAGGGACTTGTCAGCCCAGTCTGCTCCACTTGGGTAGCCGTGTAGATGGCTGTGGCTGTACATTTTCTGAGCTTCATTTTTTGCAGGGAAAAAAACCAGCATGCACACAGGCTTTGAAACCTAGGGTGTTTACTTACAGCGTATCATTTTTCTGAGTTCTGGAAATAGCCCTTGCCCCTTTACTCTTAGGTTAGCTGACTTGGTCACAAATTTCCAGAGCCGCTGAACAGTGATGTTTCCTTTCCATAATCGGAAATGTTCAAGTTCTTTGGATCCTGTTGTATTATTTTAACCCCTGATCTTTTGTCATGAGTTGTTTGCCAGAAGAAACCTGTTTGTTCTGTTATATAGTTTGGGAAGTGTGGTATTTCCTCCCTATGGAACACATTAACTGGAAAGCAACGGTGTTGCTATGTATCCAAGGTCTGTTTGGGAATCCCCCGAGCACCTGCACAAAGTCGCAGACTCTGGGGGCCAGAAGCCCCAGTGCTCAGGGCACCTGTAGAACAGCCGAAGCCAGGCTGAGACACTCCGAAAACCCTCTCCGGTCTTAAAAGGAGTTTTCCAGCTCAGTCTCGATTGCCTGCTCAGACTTTCTCCCACCTCCCCATTTTCCAGAAGAGGTTTGCACGGCAAAATGCTGAGGTGGTTTTAGCTAGCCTGGCTGTCTGGGTGACGAGCCCTGAGGGCAGGGGCTGCACTGAACTCTTCTCTCTGCCTTTCTCAAGGAGAGAGAGGTCGAAGGTGCCTTACATCGTGCGCCAGTGTGTGGAGGAGATAGAGCGGCGGGGGATGGAGGAGGTGGGCATCTACCGTGTCTCTGGGGTCGCAACCGATATCCAGGCTTTGAAAGCTGCCTTTGATGTCAGTAAGTAATTGTGTCTGATGTTTCCCTTTGCACTGTGAGAACCCGTGTGAGCCCCTGTCAGGTGGCTGTGCTATTTTTAATCTTACATTCCCCAAGAAGCATTAAGAGGTAGAGATTCTCACACAAGGAGAATAATTTTAACCCTGGCTGCATGTTTTATTAATATTCTTCAGCTACAAATATAACCCAAGACATAGAACGGGATGGATCCTTATCCCAAATAACCCATTTGTTATTCTTCCCAGCAGACATGAAGTGGTGGGTTTGCCTGCCGTGCCAAATCTTTGTACACGGCAGGCACCTTCCCCAGGGGAAGTGGCAGCAATCAGGAGCTGTAATTTCCTCACTGTTGTGAGGTCCCCAAATTAATAGAAGTCCTTGAAATTGAGAATGTTTTGTGAAAGGAGGCCAGCAAAAAACATTTTCTAAGGCTGACTAGGAAGGGTGTTTATGAAACTGAAGTTGGGTGTTCAGGGCTCCTGAGTTCTCTGCCTCACTCTGTCTAGATTGATGTGCACAGATGGTAAAATTAGATAATTCTGACCAAGCTTTGTAAAGCTTGCTTTGATCTTGAGCAGAAAAGGGCTCCTTACTGGTGCTGCATTTACAAGAATGGCATGTATGTCCCAAAAGGCATCCAAGAGCAGGCAATGAAATGCCTCCAAATTGCTAAAGGTACAAAAAGTGAAATTCTGCCCTACTTCCAGCCTATGTGACAGTCCAAGGACCGCTCCAGCCACACTCGAGCTCTCTTTTGATGCAAGCAGTCATGCAGCCAGGTGCCCAAATTCATCCTCCCTGCACTTTTTTCTTCACTTTGTGAAATTTCTTCCCTCTTGTATTTTCTTTTCAATTGCCCTAAGCCACCAAGCACATTGATTTATGAATCTTTACTAGTGCAAGTAAGAGTGTTTCACATTTGGAAACCCAGCATGTTTTCATTTATATTAAATGCTGTTTTACACTAAGCTTCGTGAAACCAGGGCTGGCTCTGCTGGTTGGTCTGTTTGTTTTAGGGAAAGGGGGTGGTTTGTTGTTCTTATTAGTAACCAAACTGAAATGTGAGCCCTGAATTGCCCCTGTGCTTTAGCTGCCCTCCATGGGGAGTTAGGCAGCCTCAGAGTCTTATTCTAAGCTGTTCAAAGCAGGGAATTGCAATAACAATTGTTGTCACTAGCAGAAGTTGAAATACATATAAATACAGTCAAGCAGGGCTTGTTCCAGATCAGGCTGAGGTCGCTGGCACAGCACAACTAACCCTGGGTAGTGTGAGGTTCCCTCTACTTGATTTAAAGCTATAAACTGTTTGCAGCCGTTTGTGCAGCATTTTCGGTTCTCAGAAGGGAGCTCATTTCATCTGGAGAAATGTAAACAGGAAAACTCTCAGCTCTTTGGGCAAAGACAACAGATAAACAAAGAGAGCCACAGCAAAAAAAGAACGAATGCAAGGGCCAGCAGCTCCTTTACCCTGCTTCCCCTCCTCCCTCTTTCAGATAACAAAGATGTGTCGGTGATGATGAGCGAGATGGATGTCAACGCCATTGCGGGCACCTTGAAGCTGTACTTCCGGGAGCTGCCTGAGCCCCTCTTCACAGATGAACTGTACCCCAACTTTGCTGAGGGCATCGGTAGGTAGTATCAGCAATAACCCTTGGTAATCGGTCTGTGTTACCGACACTGCTCTGTAGGAGGCTGCTCCTAAAGCAATACAAAAAACCCATATTTATAATGCTGGGCAGAAACCTGGAACGAGCTGTTAGGGAAGTGAAATGGGGCTGAGAAATGAGCCCTGGAATGACATATTCTTACTGTGAGCTTGAACATGGGCAATTACTGTGCCTTTTTGTAAGTCAAAAATGTCCAGGTTTGTGAAGATTATGTTAAGAATGGAATGAGAGCCTACTTGTTGAGGCTGTGCTTGCTGTCTGCCCCGTTCAGTCTTCCAGGGAAGCTCTCTTTACCGGGAGGATGTTCAGGACCATCCGTATTTGTTGGTTTGGGAAATTATGCAGCCAGTCAAATTCTCGTTCATGACCTATGGTGATGTTTTGTCATTTTCTGTCTTGTAGCACTTTCAGATCCTGTTGCAAAGGAAAGCTGTATGTTGAATCTATTGTTATCGCTTCCAGAACCCAACCTTGTGACATTCCTTTTCCTTCTGGACCATTTAAAAAGGTAATATGTGGATCCTTTAGACACCTATTTAATGCATAAAGCATCATTGTTTTGAAAAGAGGAGCCTTTTCCTTGAATTCATGCTCAATCACACAAATGAAGAAGCATTTGCTGATTTGCTGTGAATTTTCTTCAGATAACTGTCGTCTCATACTCACTTAGTGAGGCACTAAATCCTGAATTCCGTTCCTGCTCATACTTGAAAGGATTAGAACTGAAGGAAAGGGGTAACAAAATTTCAGGGGTTTATCTAGTACAAATGCAAATTCATGCTGAAGGTGCTGCAAAACTGCATCTGGGTACAAAGACTGGGAAAGCTTTTAGTGTAAATTGTGAAGCTTTGGCCGTGCTCAAGGACTTATGAGGCCTGTCTCAAAAGGCACCTGCAATCTAATATAATATATTTTTTTAAATTCCAGCTTTGCACTTCTGCTAACTGGAGTTGTTAGTTCCTTGCTTAGACTAGTCTTTCTGATCTTGTCTATGTCTTTGTAAATGCGTAACTGAAACAGTATTTCTGTGTGTTTGATATTAATGCAATAAGTTTGCTTAATACATGCACAATGTGTTAGTTTACGTACGTATTTTGTACGTACCAGAGACTGTCACCGGAGAGATGAAAGATACTCTTGTGACTGAGGTTCTGGATTAAAATCCAGGAACTCTGGGTTTTACTTGTTTCTGCTGCAGACTTTTCTCCTCTTGGGTAAATTTTTTAACCTGTGTGTCTCAGTGTCTCATTTATGAAACTGAGATGAAAATCATTCCTTTCTTGGTGTCCCACTTCTGCCTGTCCAGACAGTAGCAGCAGTCCCTTGCCCAAGTTGAAGCCATGTCTGTAGAGTGCCTGGAGACTGTGGTTGTGTTGGATCAAGGTTCAGCTGATATATGAAGTTAATTTAGGCACATATGGAGAGAGTAGTTGATTGAATGTATCTATAACTTCTTACAAATATGGTTTCTTACTTAAGGACACCTCCAAACTCAGATATGTATAAAGATCTTCCTTCTTCATTGTTTCTCCTCCCAGGGTTGCTGAGAGGGAAAGCGTTAACAAGATGTCCCTGCATAATCTTGCAACTGTCTTTGGACCAACGCTGCTCAGACCTTCAGAGAAGGACAGTAAAATCCCTGCCAACCCCACCCAGCCCATCACAATGACTGACAGCTGGTCACTAGAGGTCATGTCCCAGGTAAAATCCTAAATGTGCTGTTGAATCTCGTGAAGACAACATGTGGGAAACCGCACTTCGCGAGCAAGGCCTGGTTCAGCCATCCTTCTGTGTTTTCATGACAGTTTTTTTAAAGTAACTTTCACCCTTACACAGACATTTTGGTGTGTTTGTAGAACTGTGTTTCTTCAGGCAGTTCAGTTTGCATCTGTACTAATAAATCTTTAATGAAAAAATGTCAGTGTGCACACAGTCCTGTGTGTTCCCTGTTTCTGCACAGTACGATTTTTTGAGGGCTGCCTCGTGGCACCAGATTGCTAGCCTGGGATAAAAGGACTGTCAGTGTTTTCTGTGATGCTCCTCAACACTTAAACCACCTTCACTGATGCACAACACAATCCTCTGCTAAATTCAGGTTTGTTTGGGCACAGCTGCCTTTTGAAGATGATGCAGAGAATTTGGATGTGGAGGCTGTGTTAGCTGGTCAGGCTGTTCTGTACTTTCTTGACTGAGTAATGGCAAATCATAGCCCAGATTTTTTCAGTGTAGTGGAACACCAACACCATTTTTGTAACCTGGAAGCTGAAAAGAGTGTCTCTGAAGCACTGCCAGTTTTAATATTCCTGCTATTATACACTATGAAAACAGATACATAACTGCAAGATGTTGCTGTGGAAGGAGCTGTAGGCACGTCTGCCAGCTCTCAAATATCCAGGATGAGCACGAGTTAACAGAGCTTTACGATTACATCTTTCTTTCTCTTTCCAGGTTCAAGTTCTTCTGTATTTCCTGCAGCTAGAGACTATCCCTACCCCAGACAGCAAGAGGCAAAGCATTCTCTTCTCCACAGAGGTGTAGGTGCCTGCGATACCAACAGGACACAAAAAACTGCTCTTGGCATAAATCTGCCACACTGAGACAAAGACAACTGGTGTTTCTTCAGACATTGCCGGCCTGTTCCTGTCCTGGGGAATCACGGCCCTCAGTGCTTCTGCTGTTTGTTAACCAGAGACAAGCTGAAGAGAGAGGAGAGAAATCTGCTTTGGATCAGTAGGACCAGGACGGAACTGGAGCTGTGCAGAATCTCCACTAGAAGGAGCAATAGACATTTGAACAAATGCACCACAGACTGTGGCTATTAGTCTTGCTGGGAATGTGACAGAAGGTATTCCTCATTTTATGGATTTAATTTATCATAAAGAAACTTCAAGATTTCTACTGGACCACTTGACAGGATACCCCTTTTTGGGTGAGGGGGAGTTAAAGGATATATCACAACTGTGTCTTTAATAACTGCTGTTTTTAATGTACTGTTCTAGGCCCCAAAAATAGCATTGCTTTGCAAGAGGAGAGGAGAAGGGAAGGGCTGGGATCTGAGATTCCCTCCTCAGAAATTCAAGTCTTGATTTGAACAGGGTTCTAAAGAAATGAAACAGTTTCGTGTACAGCTAGAACTGTGAGTTTGTTTGGGGTTTGTTTTGGCTTTTTTTTTTCTTTTTTTTTTTTGTCTCCCCCACCCCTTCCATTGCAAATATTTATACAGCTCTGGGGAAGGAGATGCCCTGCTCTTGCCTGTGTTGCACTTCTGATGGATTTCTTTGGGTTAAGGGCGCCAGACCCAATGATGTTACACTAGAAATAAATACAGAAAATCAAAGAGAGGCAGGGAGGATTAGAGTTGGTGATTCTGTTTGTGATTCTGTTGTTCGTTTGCATATAAAAGCAGGGGCAATATTAGCCAGGCAGGATTGCTAAACTCCTTAGACCCCACCAAACTTAATGAAAATTAATTGGGAAGACTGTTAATTCCCAACACTCCAAATAAAAGATGTTATCACTGCAAAAATAATTGAAGCATTTGTGGACAAAACAAAAAGGTCAATGGCTATCAGTCTGGCTGGCTGCTTACTCCAAACTTTCATCAGAACATCTTTTTTTTTTTTTTTTTTGATACTTGAATTTTTGGAGGCTTTGTACATTGCTTCTACAAGAGTCTTTTTTCTGATAGATACAAATACTTTGATAAAAAGTGTCAGAATGTACCTTATGGACAATCTAGCAAGTAGCATGCGTTGTGTGTTCTCCAGAAGTTCCAACCGTGTTTAAAAGAGCAGTGAAGAAATTCCTGTGGATCTACATCCAGCAGTACGAAAGCCTGGCCAATACCAACCTTGGGTTTCCCTGCCTGAGTCAGTTAAAGCCACAGGGGTTACACGGGCATCTAGGGCAGCAGGATTGGTCTAGGCAACTGAGAGCACCATCGAATTGCTGGTACCAGAGCAGAGTATTCTGGCTGTGAAGCAGTTGTGCCAAACATCTTGGGGGGTGGGAGTGATTCCACTTTCATAAACTACTCCAGCCCCTTTCACTTCCTCCCCAGTTATGCAGCATCCATTTAGTGGCATCCGTCCATCATCATCCTGGCGAGAAGAAAAGTACAGCTTGAAGATAAGGGAAGGAATCAGCATGGGAAGGGGAGGGAGGGACAGATTTTGCAAGATTGGTAGAGTTAGATTGTCAACATCTTTTGAGGGGAAATACGACAAAGAAAGCAACCCCTGTTATGCTGAATTTCACATTTTCTGATGGGTGATCTGCAACCTCTCAATTAAAAAAAATGAAGTCAAACAAACAGAAAGAAAAAAATTAAACTGAAATTATTTTGTAGTCACTGTAATTCTGACTGCTGCATAATATTAGAAATTATTGTACTGTGAAGTTGCAAATTCAAAAAGGAACCAATATAAATTTCAATTTAGTGAGTATATCAATATTTTGCATGCTTTGTAAGGACTCTTATAGGAATTTAATATTGCTTAGTATCCCTCCCTCCTTAGGTCTGGGAGCAAACCTCTTCGTAATGTAATGTACAACTAGAAATTCCTTCTCTCTTGTATGTATTTCCACTACATTCCAACTTCTGAACCCATAAAACAGAAGAAGTGTTTATAGTAGGAGGTGCTTTTTTGGGGGAGGGAGGGAATGAAGGCAAGGAAACTTGAAGGCTTAACATTTTGAATTTTTTATTTTATTTTATTTTTTTGCCTTTTTTGAAGGTAAAAATTTGTCACAATCCTGAAAAACATTGACTTAAGAAAAGTCATGCAGACCAGTAAACCAGACTCCATGGTTTTGTTTTTATGTATTTGTTCTCATTTTTACATAGCGGTTCTATAGCAATCCTTTTACTGCAAGCTGCACACCTGCCCGTTCCAAGCTGTTGTCTGATGTATGTGACGCAGTGGCACTGCTGATGACTTCGTTTAAAAGGAAAAAACAACTCAACCACACTACAGCAGGTGGTTGGGGGATTGCCTTTTCCTTTTGGTGTTTGGAATCTGTGGCTGCTCTTTGCAGTGTTGAAACTGGAAAGCAATACCATAATGACTGTGCCAATTTACTTTTGCCCAACTTTTTTATTTTTATTTATATAGGAAGTTAATTTTAATATTAAATTACTGATCTATAGTATGTAACCATGAGAAAATTGCTTTTGCTTTGGTTACTGTTACAGGTTGTTGCTTTTAGTCTCTCATTACAGTGCTCAGTTCTAATGTAACATTATCTAACATGCAGGCATGTGGATCAGGGAAAAAAGTTAATTTAACTTAACCCGTGAATTATTTCTGTTAACTATGAATATGTTTTCCCCAAAGCTGGTAATTTTGGGCTGGAAAAGATAGCACATCTTATTGCTGATGATGAAATCATGGACTGATTTGAAATACGAGAATTGATTTCTTGCATTTCCTTTAGTTTTGCAATTAAGTTTTTTCAAATAGTCTTATGTTTTCAGAAATTAAGTATTTCCAAAAGGCTTTTTTGTTCTTTTCCCAGGGATGTTGGTTGGCTTTTTTGGTGTTTTGGTTTTTTACTTTGTTATTTTTTTTAATAAGCCTTATCATACTTAAACAAAAAGGGAATTGCAAAACTTGGCGTTAGAGAAGGCTTTCTGATTTCTACTCTTACATATTCCCTTGCGAGTTGTGTCAGAAAACCTAACTCTTCCATTTTCTGCATGAAAAAGGTACAATATAAAACAACATGAGAGCAAACTAGCAAAAAAAATGCCCTTTACGTATGCAGTGGGAGTTTGTGCTCTTTCAGTTTCTAGTGTACTCAAGACACCTCTCTAAAAATGTAGCTTTCAGTAACAGGAATCTTAAATGTTAAAACTTTCAACTAAAGACATTCAGGTGATTAGGACAGTCTGTGTATCTCCAGTTTAAGGAGAGGAATAAGCATTTACAAACTATTTTGAAATTCTTGTGGATTTTTTTTTAACACTGAATAGGTTTTTAAGTAAAATTGAAAGAAGTGAAGCAAACTACAGGAAAAGTTTTCAAAGATGGACAAGAAATAACCGTTACTAGATCAGTTTCAGCTTAGAGTTTGTGTGCTTTGTATGGAAGGGGAGCTCTGAAACCAAACTGAACACATCTATTAAAATGCTGCTGGTGTTCTTTATTCTTGCACAGTTTTAACAAGTTGAGGTAGTAGCTGAGCTATTTCAGGCTGTATTTTAATGCTGCTATTTTTCGATGTATCAGCTAAGGGCAAAACACAGCAGTGTGGTGACTATATCTGACCTTCTGTTGCTATACAGGGCAATCAGCATGCGCCGTATGAAGCAAAACTGCAACTTTTGTTGTTGGCCACAAGGTGGTGGAACCACAGAGTATGTTTCTGGGAGATGCAGTATTTTTACAGTGTATTCATTTTACCTGTTTCAAAATCTGTTTTATGGTTGTTTATGTTAGTTTTCTATGAGTTTATTTAAACAAATGTACTGTTCTTTAAAGCTTACCTGGATCTCCAGATTTGTTTGCCACCCTTGTAACACTGGAAGGCATCACAATGTGTTCATTTATCTTCATGTGCCATTCTTTCATGTATGTATACAATGAAAATTGACCAACGTGGCTTTTAAAAATGTTTAAAATCTGATGGCAAAAAACCAACCCTCTCTGATTCCTCATTGGTTAATCCTTCTGTTTCAGTGGTTGGCCATCTGCTGGGATAACATTATCAGATGTGGTATTCTTATTAGGGAAATGTTAGCAAGAAATGGGAAATATTTTAAGAAAAACCCTACCCTGTCTCTTTCTATTAAATTCAAGAAGACAAGGACTTGTAATAACAGAAGACCAATACATTCATGCTAGATTTAAGGGATTTGCTTCTGTTCCTTGAAGAAGAAAAATCTGAAAGGGCAATTCCTGAGTAGATACAAACAAATTAATCAAATTCTTGGTGTAGTTAGCACTTGTTTATGCCCTCGTAAATTTGTAGTCCAGGTATGTTTTTAATTCTAAACTTTGTTAACATTGTCATAATACTGTTATCAGAAAAAAACAAATCTGATACCATTCACTTCCTTTAATGTGGGGTATGTGCAACTGAGGTGCTGGAGCCTTAGATCAGTATTAGCAATTCTCCATTCTGAACTAGAATGAAATGAATGTTCATATGCATTCTATGAATTTTCTCATTGGATAGAATTAAATACATGGATTGCCCTTAAAATCAACAGAAGTTCTAAAGGAAGCACTTACAGTTAATCATTATTCCTTAACAACGTTTTAGGGAATAAAAGTAGCACAAATGGAAAAGTGAAGCATAATTAGGAATCGCTCGGATCACATGGGCTGGAACGAGACAGAAGTTCTCATTTCAAGATACAGAAGAAGGCTTATGCCCTCGATAACATGAGGAAAGACTGGCTTGCCAGTAAATAAACATTAATATGGGAACACCAGGAATTTAGCTACTGTGGCCTCCCAGTGCTGATGTGCTGCAGCCCCTCTTTCTTGCTACTGGAAATTCACAGTTCAGTGCTAAGAAAGCAAAGCTTATCA